TAGGACGATCCAAGTTAAACTTTATTTTGGTTCGTATGATGTCGACGGTGATAATTCGCCTTTTATAGTGTTCACAATCGTTTCTTGGAGACTGCCTTGCCTGCATCTGGATTTAAGCCGTGGATACGTTCATGGATTCACTTCTAGTATGCGCCACCTGGAGCTATGGTGGAAGTAAGCGGAGTAAAATCGAAGCCGTTTCTATTGTCTAGACTCAATTTTCAGAATTGCGTTATCAGGTATTACTATCTCGGTCACGTTTATTGCCTACGCCGACAAAGTTCCTGCGATTGAAATAAGTAGTGAAAATATCAAGGAAGTCAATAAAGAAATTTGGATGCGTGAGACTATCATAGAGTTGAGAATTAACCGCGAAAAATCTGTTGGATTACAGTTAAGTTCGGGAAAACATTTTCCTCTCGAAGATCCTTTAGTTGGACGAACAGGGGCCTTGCAAGATACCCAGTCTTTGGTTAGATTCTGGAAAAGTCCGTAGCGGCCGTTAATCAGTGTCTACGAAATAATTTTTCCTCAAATGGTCTGGACGCAATTTGTGCGTTACGTACATCTATCCCCCCACGAGCTTTACACTCATTCAGTACTGTCACTCCCAGCCACTGAAGAAGTTGAAATAGAGAGATCTCTGTTTCATTTCCTCTGGGGCAGCAGAACACCATAGTGCATCGTGAAGTCTTCTGTCTCCATTCGTCCGTTATTCATTGGTCTGACGTTTACACATATTAATGAGAATAATAACTGAAACGTTGATAGATACCAGTAAGGCCTTTCTGGGTTTTGAGGAGCGCATACTCGGGTGACGGGGGAGTACCGCTGTTCGCCCCGAAATGAACGCTTCTTCTACCCCGAATACCGACAGAATTTTAGAGTTCGTTCTCGGATATACATTGGCCTCTCTGAGATGCAGCTGTTTTATAGAGAAGTATTATATCGTGTATTAGTCGGATGGTGTGGGAGCGTTCACGACGATTTGATCGAGTTGCTCGGTTTGGGCATCTGGGTTGAAATTTCTCACTACCTGGTCATTTCCCGAGTGTACGTCAATTGTGATGAAGTGGAAGAGATTATGGAGCACGCCTTCTTTCACCCCTCCCCATGTCTTCCGCCCATTGTCCGAAATTATTAAAGGCTAATTAGTTCTATGTTGAGTGGACAATTCATTTATCTAGGATGCCACTTTCGTTTGCAGCAATGTGACCTCTCGTTGTCGGGTAGGGAGAATCATTATCTGATTCTGGGCTTAGTAGACGTGATGCGCATGGACTTCTCGTCCTTGAGAAGATTGAATGACATCCTCTCTCATCGCATCATCTGGTCGCATTCTTCAAACACCAGATAAAGGTCCCAATCACGATGGATAAGGAGAGACTTGAAAGGTGAATGATTGGTGCCAGTTAATGTACCTAACATTGGGAAGCATTTGAAAAGGACTGCTTGAAAAACAAGCTCTTCTGAGAAAAGCATGACAGCCCAACACAGTCAGGTTAGAATAGTTGAAATTTTATTTACGTTCTTTGAAATTGATTAACTTAGCAATTAATTAAAAATTCATTGAACTCCTTTTGTTTTTTTTTACTCTCCCAATATTATCGCTTTTCACTTTTCTTCTTGCTTACTCTTTGTGGTGATAAAAATTCTCTGGAGTTGTGGAAACATCTTCTTTTGGTTTTATTTTACTTTTCATTTTTAGATTTATATTTATTTCACCTGTTCTCTGTGTATGTTCGCGCAGTTAATTTGCTTCTCTGTCAAATGCTACTTTGTAGGGAGTGTCCCGCACTAATTCGTTTTTTCATTGTTTATATGATACAAATAAAAACATATCAACTTCACATATTTGTAAATACAATTGTAAATATAGGTCATTACTTGAAAATTTCTTTGTCAATGTGTCGTCGTTTTTTTTTTTATTGTGGTATACAAGTTTTCGTATGAATATTATATTATGATGTTAAAAAAATGAAAATTTGATTGGGTCAATCAATGCGAATAGCTAAATTAAAGTTTTAGATCGAGACAATTACCCATTGTTCGACCTTGCTCCATATTTTGCATTTTGATTTAAAACAAAATAATCAAGAACTATTCATTCTCTCTATATTGAAACCAACATTTGCGTACAATTTAGAAAAAGAGCGGCCAACACCCTAGAGTTGATACATCAATAGAGTGAATGGAAAACCAATCAACTATAACCACAAAGACCAATCATGTCACTGAATGACATAAACTAAAATAGGAAGTTGTAGAGAGCCGTGATCATTGATTTCCTGGAAGAACATGTCACACAGGGGAAGAAGTCCCCCAACCAGATTTGCCTTGTTCGAAAATATTTGTATAATAATAAATTTGTGTGAATTTGATTTATCTATGGGTGTTCACGTATATTAAGGAAATCTAATAATAAAAGCTGTGGGGAGCAAATATTAAGTTGGGTTTGTAATATTGAAATCGATTTATTAAACACCATCTTGAATACGATGAAAATATTTGTAATTTTATGGTCAATATTTCAATATATTGATGTTTGCTGTAATTTGGAATATTACAAAACGAAAAATACAATAATTGCTCAAATGAACTCAAGTTTAAAGTCTACTGGCTTTCATCATAATCTACAAATGGGATTTATGCATAATTAAATCAATAAGTCTGTAACCTGATCCATTTATAATTTTGATTTTAATCCTATATTTTTGTTGTATATTTTTCATCTATGGATTCCATAGATGTTGTAGTCTGTTTAGAGGCCAGAAAGAAAGGCGTGGAAGACGAAGCTAGGTTGAACAAGTGTATTGAAATAACAGATATATACAAAACAAGAGTGTTAGTAATAAGCAGTTAGAAGTGTACGTCCGAACGGTAGGTTAACACTGCGTTTCCGCTACCCTACGACACTATATTTAACATTCCCTCTACGAGGAATGTATGTAGCATAAGGCCGATTTTAACGTGAGTTTCTCCGAGCTCTTAGGCTTGGCCAAAAAAATTCGCTTTGACCCCGCATAAGCGGGTTTGGGATCCGTCTAAAAGGACGAAACATTGCCCTTCGGCAAAGCCCCGTCCGGGTTCCTCTCTGCCAAAGCAGAGAGTTCGACAGAAGTCACACACGGTCAGAGACTGCGTCTCGGCTGCCCTGCGACTCTCCGGTAGGAAATCTTGAAGTTAGTATTTATGAGAGGAGGAAGAGTTCATTCAACTGTAGGGGGAGCTATCACAATAGAGATGCATTGTATCATGACCATGGGAAAGGAAATATATGTTGAGAAATCACATGTGTAAAACCTATCGCCATTAATCTCCGATTTATTGATGAACCTGGAAATATTAAATTATAACTGAATATTTAAAATAATCACCTGAGATTCGATACTTGTTGCTTCAGAACATGGGTCTTCCCATTTCTCTTTTTCATAAATCGCCAAGAATTATTTAAATAAGATACTGACCTCGTTTCCACTTGCTTTCTTCAATGGTTTATTTCTGTGTAATCCTCCTAAATTGGTTACTAATCAAATCTTGACAACTCGGTCTATTTTACTCATAACTAAAGCGAGAAGAGATATATTCATAATATTTCCAAAGTCATGAATGCGAAAGGAAACGCAGCACCAAGGACAGAATATTGAACTCCGTTCGCCGGATTTACTTTCCCCGACGATAACCATTTCACTATCCCTATATCTGATACATCGTTGAAATTAAAGGTGAAAATCTTTTACTCACCTCATAACTTTGTTTCTTGCAGTGAAATTGTGTTTCCCTAGAGTTCACTACAGATGTGAGGAACATTCCGTTTTGGAAAATACAAGACATGAGATTTTACAGAATAAAATGGCCTGAATATTAATACATGTATCCTTATGCTGCTGATAGGGATTGACGCGAAGGGGAGTATTCTGGTATGAAACGACATATTATCAAATTATTTTAGCGCTTTCGGAAGAGGATAGCAATGAAGAACATTTTTTAAAATCAATTCACTCCAAGGAAGGCAATAAAGCTAGTAAGACGTAAGGTGTTACGAAGTGAGAAAAAATATAAGAAAAAGAAAACGTTATTAAGTAGCTAGAACGATAAAGGAACAGAAATTAAGAAGACAGAAGATGGCGATTGATATTGATAAATAAAAGGCGAGAGTTCCACGAATGAGAAATGCGAGAGAAAAAACTGTTAGTAGTGAACTTACAGTTACATCCAACATTTTCTCATGAGTAATTAGGAGACCTTACCGCCAATCTAGTACTGCGCATGGATTCATGAAGTCTAGGTACCATAGAGGAAAGTTTACTATAATAATTACCATGAGAGTATTTCTAGAAAAAAGCATAGGGAAGCTACATTACGGGGGCGGGAAAGTGATTGAAGGCAAGGTTCCAGGTCAGGATCAGTGAGATTGCAGATTCTTCTTTGGATTTTATCATGGATCTTTAAATATAGAGCTGTAGAATCAGACCATATGTGGCAGCAATATTCAAAGCATTGACGAATGGTAGACATATAAATATGTAATTTAGATTCTGTCGAGAAAAATATCTGTCACGATAGAGGGAACCACATTTCCTAGCAAACCTCGAAATTTATTCAGTATCATCTTCCACTTCATGTCAGTGGAAAACATTTGCTATAGAATAGGGGCAATGAATAACTCTCCAAGAGGTTAGCATCAGTCGTGTTGACTGAAGCAGAATAGGTTCTCTAAGACGATTAATAGAGAGCAGTTTCGTCTTGAAAGCGTTAGAATTTAAAAGCAATAACTTAACAGTTAACAACAGATTTTAGATTTTTAGATTTAGCTTTCCTGATCTACATGCTTAATAATAAATGGATAATTTTTATATTTTTTATGGCTATTCGGAACAAGGATTAATACTGGATTTACAACTAATTCTCATATGGGGCCATTTTGCTTTCAGCCTTGATATACCTTCCTTTACAGTATATATCTAAGATAGGTGTAGAGATTGGAACAAAGACTGAATATGATTGTATCTTCAACTCCTCTCGTATCTCCAGGTGTTGATTACGGTAAGGCTCCTCTAGAGATGTGACCAACATTATTAATGGTGCCACGGTCCCGAAATCAGCGTAGTCAGTGGATGTGGGTGTGGTTTAGTGATTCCTCTTTTGTTGCTATTGTCACAGCAGTGGTTGGATGAATTTACCTTAATCATAGATATATTTTCAGAAAACAATGCGCATAGCTTGAGATATTAGCGTTTGTAAAGAAGTCTGCTTTAAGATTCAGACTCAGCGTACTCGATTTAATCATGTACAGCATTATTTGTTTGCTCAATAGTTTTCTTTAAAAACTATAATTCTTTAGAGTTTGTTTGCTTGAATTTCTAAGATGGGGACTTATCATTATTTACACTATCGGTATTCGGACTTTTAACCTCATTGTTGTTGTTGTTATCAAAACGTTTCGGCCGTTGTTCCCTCTGACCTTCCTGAGGAGTATACCGAATTGGGTAACCTTTAGGGAATTCTGAATTGAACCCTGAGCAGTAATAAGTATAAGAACTAGACAATATCCCTAGAAATGGGCGGGGGAATGAAAAAGTTTACCCTCGTACAATAAATAAATTGTTCAGTTCAGAATTCCCTGTAGGTTATCCAGATTGATATACGCTGGATGAAGACCAGGGGCCACAACGGCCGAAACCTTCTGATAACAAAAACAAAGATGAGAACAGTCCAAATATAAATAGTCTAAATGACTTTAGTGCCTAAAAGATCAAATTACGCAGTAAAAATTATAATTTTTTAGAGAATATCGATGAAAATTTATTACAATTTAATTGTCTGGTTCTTATAAGATATTTCATTTTCCTTGTAAAAATGAATTTCATTTTGACGCAGACTAATCTAATGAAAATACAACTTCATAAAAATGTCTACCATTACCATTATTCTGTTGAGTAAAATGATTTTTTTATTGGCTATATGTAAAAATAAAATTTAATCAATATTTTCATAAATAACAAGATTAAAAATTTAAACTCATTAACATAAAATCAGATTGTCTTTCATGACATTCATTTTTTATTTCAATCCAAATTGGAATGACTGCAAAACGATTTCCCTACCCTTTGTAGATAGAAGCACACAGATTTATGCTGGGATTTTTTCTTAGCCAATAAAATAGGTCGGTTTGTAGTTTATCCGACTCAGTCCCGATGTGTCTTGTTTTGAAAACAGAAAGCCATATAATTGTTGATTTGCCTTGTATATATAGATTGCTTACTTTATGTTCTTTTTGCCCTATTCCTTTCTTTTCTTTCTCTTGTTATTGCTTATTACAAACTTTGTTAGTTCTGTTTGTTGACACATCTGTTATTTATTTTGCATTTGACCATGGCTATTTACACCATAGGTTATGAGCCCAGCACGCTTCTACTGTGCTATTTTGAACAACAATGTTTATTTAAATATTTATAAACAGTCTATCTCCAGTTTTACAATTTAAAAAAAAGATAATTTCATATTATCAGAACGCGACATGAAGCCCGTCTTGAATGTCCACTCTTCTAGATCTTTTAGAATTGATGCAGGTGTCCACGTAGCTTCTGTTCTTAGACCTACGTTTTGATAATTTTCATCAACGACTTTCCCGATGGCATCATTTCTCAACTTGGTTTATATGCTGATGGCCACTATTTACTCCTGTGTTAGAATAGATCTAAAGTTGTCACTCTATATAATAAATTTATATTCAAATCAAGAAGAAATAGGAAAATTTAGCTATAAACAAGGAAGATAGTACTAAATAGCTATGTGCTATCTGTTCCCTTGCTTTACAGTAAATGCTGGACAATGTCCTCAAAGATGAAGGATAGACTTGAAACAATAAAAATGTGGACTGAACATGTGAGTAATGACGAAGTTTAGAAGAAAATGGAAACAAAAAAGAAATAAATACTTATCACCAGAAAGAGACTGGTGATGTTTCTATGGCGCACAATGAAGAAGGAGGGCTTGGAAAATCTGATACTCACGGGACAAATAGAGAGCAAGAGGGACAGAGGAAAGCAATGCATAACATACTTACCGATCTTGAATAAATGGATGGCGGAATAGGGCTTAAAAATAACAGACAGTTTATTAAGAGCTACAAGGGACAGGAAGATGTGGAGGGCATGATCGCCTACATCCAGAGGTAACACGGCATATAAAGAATCTGTACAAGCAATCATTGCGGCGAATTAATGATAATGTGAAACTAAATCTCTCGTGCGAAGAATTATTGTTTATTCAACATCTGACTTTTTAGTTAATATCAGTGAGTTGTGGTGAGTTTTGTGGAACTTTTCAAAACAAAGATTCTTCTAGCGTGTGTCCAAAGGCCCCTGCCATTCTCCTCTTCTACGCATGCGCTTATATATTTGCTATATGGATTTTTGTATACGAACATTTGATGTACAACGGCGGTTGTATTCGGTCATCTGTCAGCTCATCATTGTACTTGTACTTGTCTTTGTTGACCGACACATTCTATTCGGGCATGATCTTCAGTGAGAGTCATTATACAATATCATATTAGTAAATGGATATTTTTAAAAATCAAAACCCAACCAATAAAAAGCTCAAGAGCCAATTAAGAAAGAGCGTTATTGTTAAAAAGTCAGTGATGAATATAATGTGTGATATGAATGAAATTTGATGGACGAGGTAATTGGGATAAGTGTGATAGTCAATAGAAATTAACTGAATAAATATAAATCTGCTTTTATTTCAAATATTTTCGAAAAGTCTCAAGCAGATTTTATTTTGCTTTTGAGAATCGTTGGTCTTCCAGCTTAGAGCCAATGAGTAGTCGTCGATCTTGGTCGATCTTGGTTGGGTTAAAGCGTCCATAGTATCATGATTTCATCTCTCATGCTCATCTTTTACATTATCCAGATCTATGGAAAAAAATCGAGTTGAAAATGCTAGACGGCAAGAAGTGCATATTAATAGACATCCGACATCCAGTTCTTTGATACGCTGTCAGAATGTTGTTTATTAAATCAGCATAGATTTCAGCTCTGCGACCCAACAACGTTCTGTACAACTAAGACGGATGAATCTCATGTCGCTCGCTCAAGTGGATACGAATACACAATTAATAGAATATTTACCCAGAACATAAATATGCTGTAAGCATATCTCAGAATTCTGACGTGAAAAGACAATTCTGAGTCAATTCGAGTAAAGCTGTGCACTTCTTCTAGTCTGGCACGGAATCATTTATCTCGGGAACAGAGTCAATTCTTTTATCCGACCAGTTAATATCAGGTCTTCCCAATGATGCGTATGAAAAAAAAAATCTTACGAGGTAAAACAATTCTGAATAAGAATGAAAAATTAGCATATCGTAAATTTTCCATTCATTTTTTAATAATATTTTTTTTTAATTCCCGAACCGCCTTTACTTCACAATTTTATATCCAGTTACCATTTATTACAGTAGCCTTTCTGAATATTTACCATAAATATCTTTTTTTCTGGCTATACGTATTCATTCTTTTTGTGCGTCCTGGGTAAGACGATAAACTACATTTCGTGTCCTGGGTAAGACGATAAATACATCAGCGTCCTTGGTAAGACGATAAACGACATCAGCGTCCTTGGTAAGACGATAAACTACATCCGGGTCCTAGGTAAGACGATAAACTACATCCGGGTCCTGTGTATGACGATAAACTACATCAGCGTCCTTGGTAAGACGATAAACTACATCTGCGTCCTGGGTAAGACGATAAACTACATCCGGGTCCTGGGTAAGACGATAAACTACATCCGTGTCCTCGGTATGACGATAAACTACATCCGCGTCCTGTGTATGACGACAAACTACATCCGCGTCCTGGTGATGACGATAAACTACATCCATGTCCTTGGTAAGACGATAAACTACATCCACGTCCTGGTTATGACTATAAACTACATCCGCGTCCTTGGTAAGACGATAAACTACATCCGGGTCCTGGGTATGACGATAAACTACATCCGCGTCCTGGGTATGACGATAAACTACATCCGCGTCCTGGGTAAGATGTTAAACTACATCCGCGTCCTGGGTAAGACGATAAACTACATCCAACAGCAAGGTCCCAAATCAAAAGCGTGGAACCACCTCTTAATTGCTCGTGTAACCAGGCCCACCTTCACCCGGGGTGGTAGCACCTGTTAGGCTCCCAGCTATAGGTAAAAGGGGTCGAAGCACTCTGAATGTGTAGAAATAGGTTTTAATACAAGAAATACTTTGTAAAAAATTATTACCAGAAGTATACTTTTCAAAAAAAAACAAAACATTACCAGCAATAAAAATCTTGTCGGCATTAAATGTGCCATTGAGGGTGATATAAGGTAAACCAACCCAATCATTCTTTTTTGTACGTTCTTTATTCTCTTTCTGACTTTCATTCTTCATTCAGTTCCATATTCTTTATTTCTTCATCTGTATTTAACATTCTTTCCATTTTCACTTTTTTTTTCTACTTTATACTTTTTTATTATTTAAGGTTTCACATATTTCTTCTTTTCGTCTGTTTTCTTTTTATTTTCCTTCATTCATTCATTCTTTCTTCGTTCTAATTATCATTCTTCCTTCTTGGTTTCCCTTTATAATTCTTTCTCTTTTCATTCTTTTTTTTTTACTTCCTTCTTTCCGTTTCGTCGTTACTCCCCACCTTTCATCTTTCTTCTACCTTTTTTTTCATACCTTTATTTTAAATTTGGCTTTTCTTTCTTTATTCAGCCCCATTTTCCTTTTCTTCGTTCTTTATCTGCATATATCATTCTTTCCACTTCGGGTTTTATCTTCTTTATAATTTTTTCTCTTTCTTTAACTTCTTTCTCACTTCACTTATTTCTTCTCTTCTTTCTCCGTTTATTTTTTCTTTTACCTTCATTCCTTATTCCTTCAGATACGTCCTTTGCTTTATTATTCCTATCAATTTATTATTCTTTCCAATTTCTTTTTATTTTTCTCCTTCCATTCTTTCCTTACCTCCTTTAATTATTCCTTCTTTTCCGTAATCTAAAATTTATTCAGTCCTTTTTCTTTATTACTCAACGACTTCTCATTTGCATTTATATCCTCTCTATCTTTTTTTATTATCTCTTTGCTTATATTCTAATTTTAATTTGTTCCCACTTTTTTTTGTATTTCGCTAACAACTTCTTTTCTTCTGTCTGAGGCAAAAGTCTTATTATTACTTACTGATTTTCAAAGTAAACTGGCCATCTTCAATATAAAGGTTTGTGCAGCACCATCTTGCTGTATCACATTTTATTTCTACTGCTTCGTGCTCTACGAATGTAGTAGAATATAATATATAAGTATTCGATAAATATTTTTCTGAAGACTTTGATGCTTGTAGCTTTCCGGTTAATAAAGTTGGCACGAAAAAATAATGATTGTAAAAACTTAGGAAATGGCTATTTTGCCTCCCTAATTAAATTTTTGAAAAAAGACCAAAATTTTCCTTTAACATTAATAAACATAATGTTTGACGATTCCAGAAATGGTTGCACATTTTCCTCTTGAAATAGAAAAAACACATTTATTTTCCTAATGTCTGTACCAGATGAACTTGAGGTAATTGTCTTCTGGTAATCAATAAGATTTTTGAGAATTCCAAATCCGTTTTTGCTATAAATATATATCTGGATGGACTGACCATTAAATTAATAGCTATGGCTTCGAATCGTCCAATGGAGCTATGACACTGCGCCTATTATTTCTCGAAAACACTTGACCTTTCCTCTACTTCACTATCGAAAAGAAGTTTCGTAACTTTGGGTGGGGAAATTATTTTCTTACTGATTTCTTGAAATTTCTTTCTGTCGTTCCAACTACGTATCACGTGATATAAAATCGGACTGATTGCCGCCAGTCGACGCTTGAAAAGATGAGAATATGACAGAGCTCCTAATATGAATTGATGACATGAACAAAGAAGACGTCACGTAATATAGTTGTCCCTGACGATTCTTTTGCCAAAAAAACGACCTCGAAAAACCGACAGAAGAATTAATGACGCCAAATCCTAACCACCCAGCTTTACACGTTTCATCTGATTCCCTACAGAATTTTTGCGAAAAATCTTCTACTTTTCGTAAAACAAAGGCATAACAACTGAAATTGTAAGTAGTCTAAAACATAAAACATCTTTAAAGTGTCATGATTTATATAATGGAATGTCTGTAAGAGATCACTTTATGAAGAGTTCTTCCCAGAGAGCCAAAAGATTGATCCTCACTGGTACTGCTTCATTCAATATAACAATCTATGAAAAGAACTGGATATTGCTGAGAGAAAAGGATTAATATTCCACCTGAGAAAAAAAGAAAGCACTTTTTTTTAAGGATCAGGTAAATAACTGTGAACGGATGGATGTTATAGTTTTATTATTTTTTTATATAAATCTATTTTTTTTTATTGATTCGTTGATTGATCTATTCCTTTTCAAGCGCGTGATGTCCCTTTGTAAAGCCAGAATATGTTTTCAAGTACGTAACGTCCTTTTATGTAAAGCCAGAAGAGGTTTGAAGATTGTAAGACGCTTCTATTTTGAGATAATAATGGCTTAGAGCAGCGCTTCTTAAACTACGGATCGCGACCCCATTTGAAATGCTGGGGGTCGTGAAAAAGAACTTGAAACATTCGAATTTCAGTTTCTATATTATTTCAAAAACGCCCAATATTTAACGTGGTAAGCCAATAGAAGCTCTGCGGTAAGAAAACCCGCGTGCGTCGCCGTTACGACTAGTGCAGTGACAACGGATGTATTTTCAGTGGAGTTAATTAATCTCTGGGGTTGCGAAAAATCTCGTCAGGAAAAATGAGTGAAAAATCTATAAGAAGCAGTGGTCTAGAGTTATAAGGCATAGTAATTAAACTATGACTGGAGGAAGAGGTGGATTCATAGATTCCCCAAGGGTATTTGCCCGTAAGTCAATAGAAAGAATCCCACAGGAAATGAAAATCGGCCCACCGATTAGCAAATTACTGCCCAGGATCGGCGTTATTTAAATTCGGAGACCGCACGGGATCCAAAGTTTCAACGTGATTTTAATGTAAGCGGTAATATAAAACGTTTTTTGTTTTTAAATATCGAACACTATTTCTACGGTAATCATAGATAGCAGTATAACTGTGAATATTCTCTGAGAAATCTATATAAATATATCGGAAGGATGACGAATATTAGAAGAACGTCAGGTAGTATTACTTATTTCTCAGAATTTGAAAGGGAAATTTTGTTTCAAATGCAAGTGTGGGATCTGGAAGGGAGAAGTGAACAATATAATTTAAATACTGAATTCTATTTCAGAAATGGAATTGATTAGCTTAATACGCATAATGATCACCAAATTTTACTCTAGATCTTTTACTCCAGATCTTTTACTCCAGATATGGCAAAACCCAGAAGAGTTAATTGAACATTGCGCCGGTGCGATAGATTTCAGCTAATTATTAAATAAAGGAGAAGAAAAGTTGAAAGGTCTTTCTTAAATTTCATATGTTTATCCAGACTTATCACACTGTTCCGTATGAGCATGTCAGCTCTGGACAATAGGTAAACCGAAATTTGTAGGTCAGACAACTAGACAATAGCTGGTGATAATTGAAGATCTATAGCTACAGATGTTGATGGACTCCATGTAAAGAGAAAAAACGAAACGAGAGAGCCTATGTGTAATGAAGTCTATAAGTATTTTACTTAACTATGCATATTAAAATGATTCATGTCAGTCTGAATGGGCAAAGCGATTTACAAATATTTGTAACAAACTGTAACGAGAGGAACAAATGGATAATTCAAGAGAATTGGTTGACGATATTACCCGTACTGTGGAAAGGAAAATGGAGAAGAAAAAACAACTATAAAAAGAAAAGAATAAAAGAATAGGTGTTCGGGAAGAATGACGTCAAGGACTAAACATGATAGCAAGTAGAAAATTAAATCTCTGGAAATACTGATTATAAATTAAGTTAATCCAAACAATTGGCTAAGAATGAATGTTAAATTTATATAATTGCATAAAGAAAATGACATTTTTGGCTTCTATCAGAATGGCAAATGCTAATCTGTATGTGTGCGAATCCTTGTGACACCTCGCCCTAACATTTTCTGCTAATATGAAAGGCAACATTATATTAAATCAATTACTAGTTCAGCACCTAGGTATTTGGTTTCACGGTGACAAGCATGACAAGATTTCACACCAGAACCTAACTTACAAATTCATAACTCTACCATTCGTCTATGCATTAAACATTACTGCCGCATCCGGTCTGGTGTTTCTGTTATGTATTTAGAAATTCTTGTTAAAATACAAAGACGAATCTGAAATGTTACTGGCTCATCTTCAGTCACTTCGCCAACACTGTAACGAGGATTTACTGTACCTGTTCTGTAAATATTTTTATGCCAATTGTTCAGATAAGATTTGATTTTTATCAGCTAGACTTTATGAATGGGTAGATGTGACCGTCAGTTCTATGCTGGAAGTTTCCTCTCTGACACTTAACTTTTGTAGAACTCTCTTCCAGCTCCTTGCTTCCCAGTCAACTTTGACCTTTAAAAGTGTAAATGTAATGTCAAGCGTTATCGTCTATCTTCTTAATTCCTATTCTTTGTTCTGTCTTCTTAATAATGTTTTCTATTTCTAATATTCTCTAATACTCTATCATTCTTTTGTGTTAGTAGCTTTATTATCTTGCTTTGGATAAAATGATTCTGAAGTCACAGTGTCCTGGGTAAGACGATAAACTACATCCGGCAGTAAAGCCTCTGATCAAGAGATTTTGAGGAGCATGGAAACACGTCTTAAATGCTGTTGTTCCCAGGTTCACCCTAAACCAGTGTGGTAGCACCTGTTAGGATCCGAGCTATGGACAACTAGTTAACACACAAACTGGTGTTAAAACACCATGGAAGTGTGAAAATAGGTTTTTAGAGTAAAAACATCAGCAATGCATTTTAAAAAATACCAGCAATCCATTTTTTAAAAATATATTCCCATCAATAAAGTATTGGAAAAAATATTACCAATAATACTTTTTCGAAAAAAAATATTACCAACAATAAAAATCATGTCAGCATTAAATAACACATTGATATGCCGTAAAAGAAAAGAAAAGAAAAAGTACAAACTAAAAACAGTCCAAGGGAATAGATAAAAAAAACAACAAGTATTCTTTGTGAACTTGCATTTCGAACATATAACCTTTTTATTCAGTCAAAGAGAGCAGGTGTGTTTAACGTAAACCCAAACCAACAATACCTCATACAATGGAGATTTCTTTTACAGCCGATCACACGATAAAAGTAAAATAGACTTTGAAATTCAAACTTGCCGCATTATACAAGAGAGACCAGGTGTAGTCATTATAAGCAAGAATATTTAAAGTTAAAGAAACTTTGAATCTCAAACGGATTGCCAAGTCAGACGAAAAAGTCCAGCAAAAAATTCTTTACAAAATTAGAATTTTTCTTTTCTGGAATCATGGAATAAAAATATAAGAAACTTGGATATTCAGTATTCACAAAGCAGCAAAGGAAAAAAAAAACATTTGCAGAATGGATAGAACTTTTCATGCAGTCAACAAATAAACTTTAAAACTCTTTGATATTTAAACATTTCCCCATATCAGCTGACCGCAACGAAAGACAAGTAAATTCTTGACGAAGTTGAAATTAGTTTTTTTTTTTCAGAAAAGTGAAGGTCTAAATTGAGGAAACTTTTGAAACTGAAGTGTATTCGTCTCTAGGAAAAGAGGCCACTATTTTTTCTTCCAATGATAAGAAATTCTTTTTGGGAGCTGACTTTGTGTTTGCCGCAGACAAAAAGAAATTAAAAATAAAAGCTAGTTTAGAATTTAAACGCATCAAAGAAAATTGATGGAGAAACAATGTTTTCATAAAATAAATGGTACTATTCCATGAAATAAACTTTAAAATTTAAGCCTGTCTACTGAGGCATTGTAAGTGTTCGGATAATGCCATC